TCAATTATAACAAACAGATTTTTGGAATCTCCATTCAGGATCAGCTAATTCCTCTAGTCATATCATCGTTTTCTCAAAGTAGAATAAAACCTTTTGCTTTTGTTTTTTTGTCCATAGCACCCTGCCCCTTTAGGTGTCACTAAATCCAGTAAGTGATCATCTAAAGCAGAGCAGTGTCCTCCAATGAATATAGAGATAATGATTTTTGGTTGCTACAACAATATTTCTTTGTTTGATAACGGCATAGAACCACTGTGTGGTTAAGGATTTTCTCTTTCTGTTTTTCCTGTGTCCCCAGGAATGAAAATTCAAAAGTTTGTGTTACCACTAGATCAGTAATAAAGGGTAAGCCTTCCAATGGTGACACAAGTTCAGGAGACAGCTGTCTTAGAGGGGATTTCCCTCACACTGGAAAGATATCATCTCACTAACTGTTAAGTCAACAGAACAGGACATGAGGGGAAATCTCCCTAAAGAGACTTAGCCATACAAACCACTGTATGTGTGTTGCCATCCTATGTCTAATATGCCCAGTTAATTTACTTAATTTGAAAGATAGTGTTGAAACTGTATATGTTAGTAATTGCCAATGATATGAGCAGATTTTAGGAATATCTATTCGGGACCAGCTAATCCCTCCAGTTATTAGGTATTGTAAAAGTAGCATAAAACCTACACTCCGATGCCAAATCAAATCCATGGTGTGTTATCATTTTATGTTATTGTGGTAGTTCATGCCATATAGGAATACGATTCACAGAGGTGACTCAAGGTAACATAAAATCCTTTCATTCTGCAGTAATCTGCTAACATAAGAAAAATAATAAAACTGCAAGTGGACTATATACATTGTACTGTTGGCAAAATGTGTTGCAGATCTCCTTTTAGTCTGCACTATCTATTTCAGCAAAAAATAAACTTCTATTGTAGGAATTCCTGTAGTGTGACTAAAAGTTCTGTGCAGATTTATTAGAAAATTAGTGCAAATGGAATGAGATTTCTGGGGGAGTTGTGTGCAGTGTTTGGGTTGCTATGGTTGTAGGAAGTGACATTTGATTTATTTTTTTGGGTAATTTTAGAAAAATGATGGTGGTTGCTGAAATAGAAATGTACTATTTAAAGATGACCTTTCACAAAAACTATATTCTATTTGTTAGCCTCCTCCCGCAAAACTGCTAGTTCAAAATGTAAAAAAGAAAACAAAATAGTAAAAGTTAATTACCACTGAATTTTGCTTCTGGCCCAAGTGCCCAGGTGCCAGTATAGTCACACAGCCTTCCATTATCTTCTTGGGAAGCCTGTGGATTCCAATCTACAGGGACTGTGCTCCTGCAATTATGTATAAACAAAGCCTCGGAATGAATATGGACCATAAGTCAGAGTCAGAATTACTTTTTCTATTTTTTTTCCCCAAGTCAAGTATTTTTATACTGGGGGATAGAGGGCTAACAAATATACTTAACAGTTAGGTTTTAGTGACAGGTTATGTTAAATTATAAAATGGCATGTGTAACTATTTTTTTTTAAACTTGTGCTTTGATAGTGTCTTTCAGTCTTATGTTAAATGTTAGAGACTCTGCCATTAGAATACTGTGAGAGGCATATACAATGCCTCTCACAGTGGCATATGCCACATACAAATATTTTATGTGGCAAAATGTGAAAGGGTTGATGCAGGTAAAGGTGAAGTGTCGGGATTCATGACCCTTGCATACTGTTAGGGAACCAAGAATCGAAATGGAAACTTCAAGTGCAGGTTAAAAATAAAAGGACTTTATTGAGAATAACAATAAAAATGGCAAAAAACAATGGAGAAAGTCCAAGACGTTGTCGGCGCCAAGCCAAGGGGCCAAAGCAGGTAGTCAGCTGAAACAAGTCTGGGAATTCTGTGAACAGAATTAGCGGAAACAGTAGCTGGAGCCAGGAGATCAGTTGGCCAGAGCCAGTGTCATACATGGAGAACAAGAACAGCAGCACAGCACTTGGCAGATCTGAACACTCACAAAGACGGAGACTGAATGGACAAGTTAAAGGTTAAATAGTGAACAGGTGTTTGTATCATCACTCTGAGACAGGAATTTGCAAGCAGTTTAGCTATAGTTGCAGAATGATGATGTTTGTGGGTCTGGTCATAAGAGGGCGCCAAAGAGGAACATCAGTATCAAACATATTGCAAAATAACCCATGCACAGCCGACAGGTTTGTTGGTCTTTCACTCCGTTCAAAACCTTTATACAGGAAGTCTTCCGAGTAGCTCCTCCTGTTTGTTACCCTGTGATTCTGTTTGAATCTGGTCCTTTCTTCACTTCAAAGTTCATTCCATGAGAAAAAATTATCTCCTATTTGACACTCTCTCTTCGCTTTCAACTTCAAGATGATGTTTCTTGTAATCATCACCTCTAAAAGACGAGTGTCTGTAATCATCAACTCTAAAAGACGAGTGTCTGAACTGGTGACCTTACCCTGCAATGTACCAAATATTTTTTTGCATAAGACTTCCTTCTTGCCTAAGGTAGTTTTTACATTTCCACCCCTCATGAAAATTGTTTTCCCGTCCCTCTGTCCAGTTCACTAAAAGGAAATTTTCGTCAATTTTCTGGATGTGGTTCTTCTGTTTTTATTTCCTAAGACTTACCAGGCAGATATTCAGGCCTCTTTTGATACCAGCTTTGGGAATTAGGTTCTTTAAGTGAGACCAGTGTTCTGTCATGACTATCAATGTTTGCCTCATCTTGGGATTTTAGATTATTTTTAGTCATGATAAATAATATATCAGTTTACTATAAGCATATCTAAAGAAAATGTTTCATATATGCCAATTTAGGCAATGATCTTGCAAGCTTCTGTTTCGGTAAGTCAGATTCTTGCCCTCTTGCCATCTTTTTGTAGTAAAACATTTTTAAAGGCACATTTTATCTTTTTTTTTTTTTTATAAGTTAAGTTTTCATATGCACAATATTACTGGGCTTAATTTTATTTTATAAGGTCAAATGCAGCACTAATGTTCTTCAAAGAGACAGAGATTGATAATCGGTAAAGAATGGACCACTAATGTGATTTATATCTATAGATTTTATGTCAGGTATAAAAAGTTGCTCTTCAAATTGTAAAGACTGATCCATTAGACCATTAGGAAGCACTTGAAAGCATTTACTACCTTTCTGCTTGCCTATTTTGGAAATACGCTTATTCATATTGGTTGAATATTTGTATAGTATATTTAATATATATAGCTAGTATGTCTGTCTTTTTAAATATATTTTCAATTGCAAGTGTCCTTTCTGAAATATAGAACACTCTAAGTGTTGTGTCTTTAGCGGGATTAGTTTACTTCGTCTGGGGCACTACACTCCATGAAGGGCCTTCTCTTACTGTTTAAGCATTGCAGAAATTACAGGTGGTCCTCTGTTTACAATGGTTCAATTTGCACTGATTCATAATAGCACGCTTTTCTGGGAGTGTTGTAAATTGAAACCAAATATATAATATATGTCAATGGGAAGTGAGGAAGTTAGGTTCCAGGCCTCTCTCAAAACTGGTGAAACTGGTGTAAACTGAAACCCAGTAAGTAATGTAAGGCAGTGGAAAGTGAGGAAGTTAGGTTCCATGCCTCTCTCATTGACATATGTAACAAAATAGAGGTACATTTTATTTAAAGCTCCTTGTGTGAGCTCGTGTAGCAGCTTTAAATATAATGCATCTGTATTTTATTACCTACTACTATCAATTTTGAGCGAGATCTGGAATATAACTCCCTCGCTTCTCTTTGACTTCCATTTTACATACTGGTTTTCAATTTACATCGGTTTCTATTTACAACCAGTCCCTCAGGAACCAAACCCCAGCATAAATTGAGGGCTACCTGTACTTTTTTACATCATGTGGTTGTTGGCCCCCTAAACAACACCCAGCCCAGAACACATGGTATCCTTCTTCCTAGCATGGGTGCTCAACTGATAGCTATGCTACCACCAGTATTGCTCTGGGCATCATTTACCTGATGCAGTGCTGCTGCATGTTGAACAATATTGAGTAAATCCATTTTTTTTTTTTTGGTCATTCTGTATGAGTGGCACAAAGAATAAATCTGTCTCCTATACCCGATGCTAGGGATGTTCAGATACCAAGTACCGTACTCTGTACATGTACAGATACTTTTCCAGCTCCAGGACTAGACTAGAGACAAGTGCAAAAGTTAGGAGGCAGCTGTCATTTGTAAGGAGCATACAGAGCTCCTGGGATTTGTCCATCCCCATTTTAATGCATTATTTTTTAAAATAAATCTATATTAGGGATGCCCCGATTCCATTTTTACAAGTACTAATACTTGACTGAGTACTTACAGATACAAGTACTAATCCATTTTTGTTTATTGGCATGTGCCAGTTTTTCTAAAACAATACAGACTAATGATTTCAGGACAGTGGTGGAGTGCCAGAGCCAGGTCCCAGCTGCAACCCCTGCAACCTTGATAGTTCTCATGAAAATGCCAAGTATTGGCACTGGTATCTGGACATCCCTACCCGATACATTAGATGTGTGTAAGAGGCCTAATAAATCTGGATCAGTGGCTTTCTGTGCCCAGTTCTTCATGTGGCACAGGGTCGGTAGCTTTTAGCGCTGATACTATGGGTGGCTGATAACAACTATTATTCTTTAGATTTAATTTAGCATATGGCATAGCAAATAGAATACAATGTTTTGGAAAATGTAATAAATGCCCTTTTACATAGGGTGCCGTGATATTGGAGATTTGGGCTTCCCATGAGCAGGAGCTTAGCACTCTGTTCATGTAATGTTGCAGCTGCAATTCTTTGCTACGATGACACTTTTTGCATTAAAGATACAAAAGTACATATGGAATTCCAGAGTAGATGGACAGTTAACTCGGAAGACAAAAAAAAAGTCCCAAGCAACAGTAAATACACAAACTAAATAATGTGCACACATGTTATGTAAAATCTGATGTTTTAAGGAGGTTTTTTTTTATTTTCTTTCAGTCTCTTTGTGCACAGTATTCTGCAGACAAAAGAGAAGATGAAAAGATGTGTGACCATTTAATAAGAGCTGCTAAGTACAGAGATCATGTGACCGCAACTCAGCTTGTACAAAAAATCATCAATATTCTAACAGATAAACATGGAGCTTGGGGAAATTCATCATCAAGGTAAGATATATATACTTTTTTCACGGTACCTTTTTGATTGACTAGATACAGAGTATTACCTATTATGTTTAGTTGAACATGTGAGAGGAAAAAGGGGTAAATAGTCCACAATAGTTGTGAGATCCCAATAGGTTATTCAGATCACCATCTGTCAGTAATCAAAACACCAGCATTGGATGGTGAGACCTATTAAATCTACATCTTTTGGGAGCACATGTTCTTAGCTGATAATAAACCTGTTACAGAACAGTGCCCTCACCTTACAGTGTGTTTATAGTTTAGTAGAACATGTCTGTGTTTTCACAACACAACTTTTAGGAGGTACACTAATGGTTTGGCAAGAAACGATAGCTAAAAGTTTTTTTGAGATGTACAACAGGATATAGAACTCAGGATAACCAATCTTGGCATAATTGCGATCTATTGCTGTGTTATCTTAACAGAAGACTTTCTTTTTTTCAACTGTAATGGATATCAAGAAAGAGGTTATATTGGCTTTCAATTTTAGCTGAACAGTAAAGATTGTGTTTTCTCAATCAACTTAATATGATATAGGTAAAAATAAATAAAATATTTGGCAACATCTGTGAAATCCCAGTTATAAGCAGAAATTATGAATTCACTTTTTGCAGATGACATTCTCCTAATTTTAACTCAAACTTCCATCACCCTTCCTAACCTACACAAAGCCCTTTATCTATATTGATCACTCTAACTGCCCACATAGACTCACTAAAGGTCCTTCCAAGCCAGTTCAGAAGCTTGCTGGTCCACGCGACCATGCCTCCTCCAATGATGCCTCCTCCCCCCCTTCAGCCTGGTTGCTGCACCCCCATACTCTCACTATCATTTTTATACATGTATATAGCTCTGACATATACCACAGTACAGTACAGAAAACACTGAAACAGTCTCTGCACCAGTGGAGCTTACACTCTAATCCCCCCGCCCCCCCCGACAGTCACACACTATTATACATTTTATATTAGGGATGCACCAATGCAATGTTTTCAAGTACGAGTACCGATACTTATCCTCAAGTACTCGCTGATACCAATTACTGATACCTTTTATTTTGTGTCGTGACAGTTTTTCTAAAACAATACAGGCTAATGATTTGACAGTGGTGGTGGGCCCAATCGCATCTGGAACATCTGAGACCCTGGTAGTTTTGCCACTGATATATTATATAGCAATGCATCCTAGGTAGGTCCGCCCTGGATCACTCTAGTGCTATAAAATAAACAACAAATGAATAGAGGCACAAAACACTCATCTACACATCTGGAAATCTAACTTCCAAATCTCTAATGTCTCAAATACCTGGAAGTGAAGCTAACCCCCAACTCTCTATCTATCCATCTATATCTATCCATCTATCTATATCCATCTATCTATCTATCCATATATATATAGATATCTATATCTCTCTATCTCTCTCTCTCTCTCTCTCTCTCTCTCTCTCTATCTATATCTATATATATATATCTA